ATGCTGACATTCTTGACCTGATAATTCTGTTGTCAGAGATGATCTTGTTGACTTTTATTCATTCCATGAATTTTATTCATTAGATAATAGCATTTTTTCACTGCATTACACATCCACTGAAATGTCTAAAATAGAAACCCTGACTATGTTGTTAGTAAAAATATCGAGCAAGCCCTGAGCCTCTTCCTGTTTGTCCTGAACGCCATGCCCAGTTTTCTTTTCCTCCCAGGTTGTAACCCCCCCAAAACACACACACACACACACACACACACACACACACACACCAAATACTCGTAGGTGGTGTGGCCTCTGCAGATGCAGGCATGGCCTAATTTTGTGCGAGGACACTCACACAGCTGCAGGTAAATTATAACCTCGTTTAAACATCTTAGTCTCCATATCACCACACCAACATGAAGAAACAATGCAAATCCCAACCACAATGAGAGGATGATGAAAAGAATCCAGAAGCCTCATTAGCTGTTACTCACGTAAGGAAGCTCTCTTAGAAAGAATTCAGATATGAAGTAATGAAGATGTTCAATTAATTCAATGAAACAGTGAGACAGATATCGAGTAAATTAAAGGAGGACATGAAAAAAACATTTGAGAAAATACAGGAAGAAATGAGAGCAGAAATTGGAAAGCTATGCACAGAAATGTCACGAATTAAAGATTTTGTAGATAAAATAAAAAGCTCAGTCTGTGCCCTCAACAGTAGAATGGCTACAGCTAAAGACAGAATCAGTGAGACGAGCTGCAGGAAGCTACAGGTAACAACAAACAATGGCAAGAGACCTCAAAATACCTCTAGAATGAATTAGAGTAATAGGGGATCATTCCAAGAGGAACAACATTAGAATCACTGGAGCAACAGAAAGTAAGGGAAACAGTCCCAATGAAAAATCCATGGTTATACAAATCATTGCTGAAAAGTTCCCAGAGCTGAACAATGCAGTCATCCATATTCAAGTAGCCCGAAGAGTGCCAGCTAAAAGAGCCCCCAACAAAAACACTCCAAGGCATATCATAGTTAGAATGATGGGTGCCACGGATAGAAACACAATACTGCAAGCAGCAAGGTCAAAGAAGGAAATCACATACAAAGGAGCACCCCTTAGATTCACAGCAGACCATCAGAGGAAACCCTCCAAACCCGAAGACAATGGTGGTATATAGTGAAAAAAGACTCACTGAAATGAATGCTTCACCAAGAATACTTTATCCGGCTAAACTCTCACTCAAACTTGAATGAACGGTACACTATTTTGTGGATAAACAACAGCTCAGGAACTTCATAGGCTCAAAACCAAACCTAAAATAAGGGCTAAAGGGGCTACTATAAGCAAGAAAAACCCCTATGAGCACAACAATCCCTTACGGAAAGATGATACTAAACCCCATGACAATAATCTCTCTCAACGTCAGTGCTTTAAATTCACAATTAAGAGACACAGAGTGGCAAAATGGATTCATGGATATTATGAATTATGAGAACTAAACATTCTCCTCCTACAAAAAACACATCTGAACAATTAGAACAAACATATACTCAAAGTCAAAGGATGGAGAACAATCCTGCTAGCAAACAACCCCCTCAAAAAAGCTGGAGTGGTCTTACTAGTAATGGACAACATAGATTTCAGGTTGAAAAACATTAGAAGGGACAGAGAAGGCCATTTTTTATTAATCAAGGGATTAATGGGCTGGAGTGATAGCACAGCGGTAGTGCGTTTGCCTTGCACACAGCCAACATGGCCGACCCGAGTTTGATTCCTCCACCCCTCTTGGAGAGTCCGGCAAGCTACCGAGAGTATCTCGCCCGCACAGCAGAGCCTGGCAAGCTCCCCATGACGTATCCGGTATGCCAGACACCGTAACAACAAAGTCTCCAATGGAGACGTTACTGGGCCCGCTCAAGCAAATCGATGATCAACGGGAGGGCCTTTACTTTACTTTACTTACAAGGGATTAATACAGCAGGAAGAAATCACACTCCTAAATGTATAAGCATCCACTGAAGGACCAGCCAAATACCTGCAACTGCTAACAGACCTTAAGAAGGACATTGCAAGCAACAAAATAGTAATTGGAAACTTCAACACAACCTTATCACCACTAGATAGATAAAGAAGATTAAAACTTAGCAAAGAAATAATGGCTCTGAAGAAAGAAATAGAAAACAGACAGCTAATAGATCTATACAGGACTTTATACCCACCAAAAAAGAATACACATTCTTTTCCAGTGCACATGGGACATTTTCCAGAATAGACCATGCACTGGGCCACAAAGCATACCTCAATAGAATCAGAAAGATAGACATTGTGTCAACTACCTTCACAGAAAACAGTGTGCTGAAGATAGAAATTAATCATGTACAGATGCAAAAAATCAAATCAAACACCTGGAAATTAAACAACTCAATGTTGAACAATGAGTTGATTAGGAAAGAAAACAAGGAAGAAATCAAAAGATATCTGGAAACAAATGAGAATAAAAACATGAACTATCAGAACTTATGGGACAAAGCTAAAGCCATGTTAAGGGGGAAAATTATAGCTCTGCAAGCATTTCTCAGGAAGGAAGAAGAGATCCCAATAAAAAACTTGACTTCACAGCTCAAAATCTTAGAGAAAAGGACCAACAAAAAAAGTCTATACCAGGCACAAGGAAAGAGATCATAAAACTTAGAGCAGAAGTCAACGACATGAAATTCCAAAAAACAATCTGAAAGATCAATGAAACCAAGAGCTGATTCTTCAAGAAAATAAATAAGATAGATTTATCACTAGCAAGACTCACAAAGAAAGAGAGAGAAAGAACCCTAATAAACCGAATCAGAAATGAGAAGGGTGATATCACCACAGAAACCAAAGAAATTCAAAAGATCATCAGAAACTACTTTGAAAGTCTGTATCTCACGAAACAAGAGAACCTAGAAGAAATGGATAAATTCCTGGATTCCAATAATTTCCCAAGACTGAATCAAGAAGATCTAGAGTACCTGAATAGTCCTATTAATATTAATATATCTCGAGAATCCTAAATCCTTTACCAAAAAACTCCTAGAAACAATAGACTTGTATAGTAAAGTTTCAGGCTATAAAATCAATACCCAAAAGTCCATGGCTTTCCTATGTGCAAACAGTAAGAGAGAAGAAAGGTACATGAAAAAAATTCCATTCACAATTGTGCCCCAGAAAATCAACTACCTAGAAATCAGCTTTACTACATACAAGTATCTCTACATGGTAGGTATCATGCTAAGTGAAATGAGTCAGAGAGGGACAAACATAAAAAGACTGCACACTTCTGGGGAATATAAAGTAACAGAATGGGAGTCGAACATTCAAGAATAGTTGAGATAAGTACCTGGAGTTCTGCTCCACAGCTTGGAAGCTGGCAGAACATGTTGGGGGAAAAGGCAGCTCAGATAGAGAAGGGAATACCAAGTAAAGGATGTTTGGAGGACTCGCTCAGAATGCGAGAGCATGCTGAAAGTAGACTATAGACCGAACACGATGGCCACTCAATACCTCTATTGCAAAGTACAAGACCTTGAAGAAAGAGTGAGCAAAAGGGAATGCCCTGCCAGAGGCGAGGTGGGGTTGAGGGGGTTGGGGTGGGGAAGTGGGAGGGCTACTAGGATTATTGGTGGTAGAGAATCGGCACTGGTGGTGGGATGGGTACTTGACAATTGTATAACTAAAACACAAGCATAAGACTACAACAGTACCTCATGGTGTTTCACTAATTAAAAAAAATGGAAACTAAAAGCATGGTATAATCATTGTGATAAAAAATAAAGTTACTTATTTTAAAAAATATTGAGCAATTGGAATGTTCATAAACTATTGGGAATGCAAAGTGCTTGCAGTGTTAGTATAGGAAAAGTCTGGGGTCAAGTACCTATGTGTCAAATTTTCTAACACTCATTATCAAGAATTAGTGAGCCTCCAATGATTTAATGGATTCTGTTGGTGTAACAAAATTATAGGGAAACACTAGACCAAATCCTCTCAGCCACACACATTTCTGCATGGGAAGCTAGGTCCTACCCTGAGACAATATTCTGACCAAATAAATCCCAGTGGAAGAAGAGAAACACATCTAGAGGTGTAAGCTCAGAACACCATATCCATCCCTCTTTTTTTCTCAAGGCTATCTTTTGCTTTGACTTTGAGCTATACCGGGCACATTGGTAACTTTTATTACAGTAGCAATGCTAGGTTATAACTGCCAAACATATGCCATAGTAGGAAACCAACAAAGCCTTTTAGACTTTAGCTTTTGAGGAAAATATCAAGAACAAAACCTGCTTTTCAGTTTGAACTTGAACCTGGGATCTGGGATTTTATAAAAATACATAGCCAGACCCCACTCTTGGGAATTTACAAAAGAACAATTTTTTAAAAATTTTTATTAGTGAAACACCATGAGATACAGTTATAGACTTAGAATTTTTTGTGCTTGGATTTCACACAATGATCCTGCAGCATGCTTTACAATAGCCAGAATCTGGAAAAAACCTGAGTGCCTGAGAACAGATGACTGGTTAGAGAAACTTTGGTACATCTACACGATGGAGTACCATGTAGCTGTTAGAAAAGATGAAGTCATGAAATTTACATACAAGTGGTACTACATGGTATCATGTTAAGTATCTTGTTAAGCAAAAGTCAGAAAAAGAGTCATATAGACATAGAAAGATTGCATTTATCTGGGGAAAATAAAGTAACAAAATAGGAGACTAACATTCAAAAGTGACCGAGATTAGTACCAGGAGTTTTGCTCCATGGCTTGGTAGCCAGCCACACACTCTAGGCAGAAAGGGAGCACAGATAGAGAAAGGAGCACCAAATAAAAGGGTTGGGGGGATCCTCCCAGGATGGAAGATGTGTGATGAGAGTAGACTATAGACCGAACATGATTGCCACTCAATGTCTCTTTTGCAAACTACAAAAGAATAAATTTTATGACCTATTTTGTCTTTACAGAAGGAGATCTTAAGATCGGACCTCATTATCTGCTCATTGGCTGCTGTTTTGTCATTTGCAGTCAGTGCCAGTACTGTGTTCCTGTCCTTGAGAGTATGTATTATTCAACCTATGTCTCTTCCCACCTCTGTTTTCTTAAAGCTCCCATTGGGAGTTCCAGTGTATTGCAGGAGAGTGAGCCCAAGGGAAAATCTTGTCATTTGGACAATAAAGGTACGTTCATGTACCATTAAGAACAATGTCCAAGGTAAGATTTGGTTCCCATCACAGATTTGAATCCCTTGTTTAAATCTTATTGCTTTTCCATCTTGAGAATTTAATGTGCAAGGGATGTTGGACATCTTCTAAAATCCTTCGTAAAACCAGTAAGTAGGTTGATAATAAGGCATGCTAGCGGCAGTTTTCCTAAGCAGAGGAAAAACTGATTGGTTATCAGGAATGTTAATGGTTATTAACAAATGGTTATTAGAACATTATTATTAACAAAATTATTATCAAAACCTGATTATTAACAAAATGAACATGATTATTAACAAAATGGTTATTGGAACATGATTATTGGGACATGATTATGATTATTGGAACAAGAGTTCAGTTAGAAACATAAAAGTAGAGCATTTCAGATGGGATTTCTGGGTTAAACATCTTACAGAAAGTTAACATCTCTCTGTAAAATTATTGTGCATATTAGGAATATATTCATGAATATATATCATAATGGTTTGATCCAAAATCTTATGCCTTGTGAATTAAATATAAAAATGTACATGTTCTATCTTTAACAGGAAAAGTTTATTAGGTAAATTTGTTATCCCTCACCTCTTTTAGGGAAAAATAGCATTCCAATAGACAGAATATTCCTTTGGCCTCTGGACTTGCACAGATTTATTCTCTGCATAAAGACGGGTTCTTTATGCTTAGCAGTTCCAGAGATGTTTTATGCCATGTGGAAGAAGTTCAGAGGTTTGCCACAAGAGTTGGGTTTGACTATTTTTAAGGAGGAGTTGGGGGAGGGTGACAAGAGTGTGTTGTCTTAGTCATTTGCATGCCCCCTTCCTTTTCTTGTAAACTAAATAATGATTTTTTTCTCTCTTTTATCACAGCCATTTCTCAGCATTGTGCTGTTTGGCCTTGCTGGCATGGTGGGATTTGTGACCCATTACATGCTCCCTCAGCTCCGAAAGCATCATCCATGGATGTGGATTTCGCACCCTGTTCTTAAAAACAGAGAGTATCAGCAACAAGAAGTGAGAGGTTAGTAATACAGCCCTCAAAAGAAAAAGTGTGGGTCCAGAGTATTGGTACAGGAGTTGACACAAGGCAACCCCAGTTCAATCCATGCACTGCATATGGTACACCACAAATCATGGGTGCAACTGCACAGGTGATCTACACCCCAGCACCATATTGCCAGTCCCACTCCCCCCATAGCCCCCACACTTTTTGGAAGCTCCTCTCTCCTCCAAAGTATTGTTTGGCATTCTTTTCCCCCTAACTTTTCAAAAGAAAAAATAGATTGAGGTACTGTGATTTACAGTATTGTTAATGATGGTTTTCTGTGCACATAATTTGAGCATCACACCCATCTCAAGTGTGCCCACCTCCCTCCTTCAAGGATTCCAATGTTCCTTCCTTTCTACACCAACCCCACTCCCACTCCCAGCCCAAAAACTTATTTCGTGGATCAGCTCCCACTTTGTGTTGTCTTTGGTACTTTGTTGCAATATTACCATATTACTGTGAACTTTAAGTCTCACATATGGAGAGATAATTCTGTATCCTTTGCCTTCTGACTTTCATTCAGTATGACATCTTCTAGTTCCAGCCATGATCGATATACTTTATTTATTATTTATTCTTAATGTAGGAGTCTTGCTATTTATTAATCCATTGATTAAGCTCATTGAATTGGGCATGAACGTCACATTACTTTTTTAATGCAGAATGTTAATTTTATTTATTTGTTTATTAAATCGGGGCTGGAGCGATAGCACAGCGGTAGGGTGTTCGCCTTACAAGCGGCCAACATGGCCGACCCGAGTTCGATTCCTCCGCCCCTCTTGGAGAGCCCGGCAAGCTACTGAGAGTATTCGATATGCCAAACACAGTAACAACAAAGTCTCCAATGGAGACGTTACTGGGCCCGCTCGAGCAAATCGACGATCAACGGGAGGTCCTTTACTTTTACCTTATTTATTGAATCACTGTGAGATATAGTTACAAAGCTTACCTGTTTGAGTTTCAATCATATAATAATCGAACGCCCAACCCTCCACCAATGTCCCCAGTATCCCCTCCCATCCCACCTCTGGCAGACAATCTCTCCTATACTCTGTTTTGTATTGTTTGTTATAGACTTTGCATGCCGCTTGCTACTGCAATTCTAAAATTTTCGATAATTAGGATCTGGAGAAATCTCTGCAGCAAGCTGCTCAGTTCAGAGATTCTTTTATGTGTCTCTGGATCATGGCTGTTAAACAGCTTGCGTAGCAGCCAGAGGCAGTTTGTGGGCATAACCTTTAGGGTCCCATGGGGATGGGGGTGGGATGAGAGGGATCGGCCCATTCCCTATCCCTTCAGGTCTGGAGTTTGTCGTCACTGAACTTGCAGATGATATTGCACTTTTCATTGGGTTCTGGAAGTTCGCAGTCACCAGGGTTCTTGGGGGGCAGGTGGAGGGACAATGCCTGCTCCATCTGAGGCACCCTGGAGGCATCTCTGCAGTTGGAGATTCTTTTGTGTGTCTCTGAATCATGGCCCTTGTTTCCATCTTTTCCAGAGTAATAAACTATTGGCATATGCCCGCAGAACTTTCCCACTTGCTGTAGCAAGCCACACCGTTGGCCTTAACCACAGCTTTTGATCTTTTTTGAGATTTATGGGTCTCTGAAATAAGGCCAATAAATAAACTTTTATAGCTGATCTGGAGGTGTTTGTGGGTGTGACCCCCACATACCTAACTTTGGGCCATTTCTTGGTAAACTTGGCCCCAAGTTGTTGTGATCTGAACAAAGGCACATAGGCAACTTGGGGGTGTCAGGAAGCCTGAAGGCACCATCAGGCTGCTGATGCACTAATGCCACAAGTACAGACTAATCTGCTGTCAGCACCATACCCCCAGTTGATATACTTTAAATGGAGTATATGGACTTTAAATGGAGTGTGAATGTCCTCAATGATATACTTTAAATGGAGTGTGAATGTCCTCAGTGCTATAGAATTTTATATTTGCACATGACTCCAATGTAGTGTTACATTTGAAAATTTAACCACATTCCTTTCTTTTTTTAGCAAAAAAATTTTCAGTATACAGTATCATTCCCAGAACAAAGGAGCAGAATAAAATATAAGTATGGGTTATCGAAATAACAAGTGGTTTATCAAATAACAACAAATTAATAAAAAATTAATTTATAGTACTAAGACATAAAGAGTATGCTTCTCCGGTGTAAAATTATTAGTGAGACCAGGCATAATGAAAGAGGAGATCGTTTGTAGAGACTGTCAATTATGTAATTGAGAGAAAAAAATTAAACCAAATTAGGGCTTTGAGTCCTTGCAGCAGATTAGCAGGTGGAATTCAAAAAGAAAGATCAGAGTGAGCAGTTTACAATTTAGGAAACTAAAAACTAAATTTTAAGTATGGTTATTTTCTTTCCTGAAGTATAGCAGAGCTTATTTAAGTAAAATCATTAAGATATTTAAATCCTCCTAGTATTTTCAGTACAAGATTTAACAACAAGTAGTTGTTTTGTGAGTTGATTCTTGAATAGACAAGTAATCAGATGCCTGAGGGTTTGTCCTACAAAGCAGGCCAGAAGTTCACACCTATTAGAGTAGTCTCCTGCAGAGCCTACATGAAATGCTCCGCACTTGCCTACAACAGTTGTTTATAAGTCACCTGAATTCTAGCCAAGAGTAATGAATTTGACCTATTAGGCTTCTAATGAGAAACATTCCATTGCAAATCTATGTGTTTTGAAAGAAAATGCATATACTTAAGTTGGTTTGAACTTACTGAAGATTGATCTTGATATTCTGAGTTTTCCTGCCTCATCTTCTTGGCCTCTGATTTTTAATGAGAAAACTATGCTCAAATCTTCTTTCTTCTTGGGCTGTAGACTATAATAACCAGAAAAGAAGGATGAACAGAGCAAGGCTTCCAAGTCTCAAGTGGATGACCAGAATTCCTTGGTTTTATAGCAGACTTTGCTAATTGAGAGCATCCAAAATTTGGATCCACAGCAGATACATAAATAAATCTATGATAAAACTTTTATTGAAGACTATATTTTTAAGGCAATTTTTTTCCCTCTACCAATGTCACTAGGTTCCATCCCACCCCACTTGCCTGCATCTTTAACAGGCTACATTTTAAAGTTTGGTTGTTGTTGTTGGATCTCATAAATATACAGTGTTGTTGGCTTGTGGAATAACCACGAGATTATATTGGATTGTAACAGGTTTTAAAAGACATTTAGATACAGCATTTTAGGCAATGAATTGTTAATTTATTCACAAAAAAAATGTTTTTCATGTTTTATTGATTTGTTGTTGTTTTGGGGTCATACCGGGAAGAGCTTAGGTCTTTCTTCTCACGCTGTGCTCAGTGATCACTACTGGTGATGCTTGGGACCATATGTGGTGCTAGGAATTAAAAGTAAGTCAGCAGTGTGCAAGGAAAGCACTCTAATCTCTGTACTATATCTCAGGCACCTTATTACTTTTTGAAAAATATACTAAATTTCCAAATGACCCAAGTCTGTGAATAAATGAGATGGGATGACTGAAACTTGGTTTCTGCCACTGGATTTCTCGTTATATAACAATTTTTTAAGTAAACTTTTGGAATTGCTGTAGTTTCTACACAATGATGGACACAAGTTCTGTCGTTCATTCAGAGTTAGGAGAAGGCTCACATCTTAAGTGCTTTGATTTTATTTCATATTTATTCATTTATTTATTTTGCTTTTTATATCACACCCAGCAATACAAAGGGGTTACTTCTGGCTCTGCTCTGAGGAGAGTGTTTAGGAGTGCTCTGCTCTCCTGGTGGTGTTCAGGGGACCATATGAGATGCTAGGAATCGAACCTGGGTTGGCCACATGAAAGGTAAACACCCTACACACTGTGCTATTGCTCCAGCCCCATTATTTCATATTTATTGATTAAACTTTTACAACTGCTTGATTAATACCTGGTTCAGCATAATAGGTGCTCAACATTGGTTGAAGAAACAAATTATTAATTCTTTGTAAATTTAAGTGACTTGATTGGAGACAGCTTTGTTAGGTAAAGGCTGGTTTGAAGAAATTAAGAGTACATGTATATAGTAAAATTCATTTTAAAAAAAAGTTTGTGTTGGAGCTGGAGCAATAGCACAGCAGGTAGGGCGTTTGCCTTGCACGCAGTCAACCCGGGTTTGAATCCCAGCATTCCATATGGTCCTCTGAGCACCGCCAGGAGTAGTTCCTGAGTACAGAGTCAGGAGTAACCCTTGTGCATCGCCGGGTGTGACTCAAAAGGAAAAAAAAAGAAAAACGGTTTGTGTCTTTTGATTTTGATTCTCAAAACTGATTCACCAATGAATTCTGAATTTGTAATTTCTAAGGTTTACTTTGCCTTTCAAAAAATCTTCCTACATAGACATTTTTTGCATATACGAGGCATTATTCTGAGATATCTTTGCTTTTACCGATATTTTTGGTGTACAAGTAATACACAGAGTAAAAAAATCAAATAGAATCTATTGTAATGAACAGCTTAGAACTGTACGTTGTTCTGTCTCTGATTCTCTCTGCATTGTAGCACGGTTCTCCTGTTGTTCATAGATTTGCAGTAGCAGGCACCAGTAATGTCTCCATTGTGAGACTTATTGTTACTGTTTTTGGCATATCAGTATGCCACGGGGAGCTTGCCAGTCTCTGCCATGAGGGTGGGATACTCTTGGTAGCTTACCAGAGTCTCTGAGAGTGGCAGAGGAATTGAACCAGGGTCAGCCACATGCAAGGCAAACGCCCTACCCACTGTGCTATCACTCCATTGTTTAGTTCTTGTGGTATAAAGACTATAAAATTTGAGGAGTACAGCTTCACACCATTGTAAGTGAATAAGCCTTACCATACCTATCACCAGGTGATTATCTAGTGCCTTACCACAATCAAATTGACCTCCCCTATGTAGAATTTCCTTCCTTTCTCCCTTCACCCGCTGGAAACTTCATAATTTGAATAGAATGTAGGAGTTAATGTTTA